TTCTAGGATGTCTGGGCAGTTTTCCATGATAGTTACTTGAAATATGCTGGCCAGGCTCTTTTTTTGTTCATGCCTTTCAGGTAGTCCAATAATTCTTAAATTCTCTCTCCTGGATCTATTTTTCCAGATCAGGTGTTTTTCCAATGAGAAATTTCCCTTTTTTTTTTTAATTTAAAAAAATTTTTGTCTTACAGTTTCTTGATGTGTTATGGAGTCATTAGTTTCCACTTGCCCAATTCTAATTTTAAAGTTTTGTGCTTCTTTTCCATTTGGCCAATTCCACTTTTTAAGGTGGTGTTTTCTTTAGTGAATTTGTGTATATCTTTTCTCATTTTTTGTGCTTTCTTTACCGAAGTGTTAACTTTTTTTTCATGATCCTCTTACATTACTCTTCTATGTTTTGCTTTTAAAAATCCTTTTAGAGCTCTCCCAAGAGTCTTTTTGGGCCCAAGGCCAATATACATTTTTCTTTGAGGTTTCATATGCAGCTGTTCTGCCATCGTTGTTCTCTTCTAGGTTTGTTCCTTGATCTTCTCTGTCACCATAATTACTTTCTATGGTCTGGTTCTTTTGTTTTTGTTTTAGGCGATTTTTTTTTTGCTCATTTTTCTATTTTGTGACTTTTTGCTTTAATGCAAAAATTGGGCTCTGTTCCTGGACTGCAGAGGGTACAGTCTCAAGCTTCTTGTGCTTGGACTCAGGGCCTCACTGGTGGCCTGCTCTGGGCATGGGATCTTGCTACTGCTGGCTTGCCTTGGGGCTTGAGGCCTCCATGCTGGTTTGCACCAGGGGCAGGGCCTCACTGGTGGCTCTCGCCCCAGGGCTCAAGGCCTCAACTGCAGGACCCCTTGGGTGCAGCTTACCGCTGCCTTCCTCACCAAACCTCCCTCCTCTCCCTCCCTAGTGAGAGAGATTTTCCTGCTGGACCCCACCCCCCACCCCCTACCCCAAGCTGTTTTGGACTGGTAAGCTGCTTCACTGCTGTAAAATTGATTGTGAGGTGTTACTGTAAGATTGTTTGGAAGGGAATTTAGGACAGCTTGGGGGGAGTTCCCACCTCACTCCACTATCTTGGCACTAGAAGTTTGTGACAATCCATTAAATACTTAAAGATAGCACCACATTCATCTGTTCCCTCTCATTTATTTCTCAAGTCTCTTCTGCTCCAGGCTTAATATTCCTGGTTCTTTCAATGACTACTACTGTGGCAGATGAGGCTCTTTAGTGTCCTAGTCATCATCTTCTGGATGCCCTACATTTTATTAATGTTTTTCCTAAAATGCAGCACCTAGTACTTCAGCTAGTTTGACCAGATCAAAGTAGACTGGGACTATCACTTTCCTTGGCCTGATCACTAGGCTCCTCAATACAGCTTTGGATTAAATTCAACTTTTTTGGCTGCCACATCACATTACTGAATCATGGAGCTTGTTGTATACCCCCATTTTCAAATGAACAGCTACTGCTCACGTCTTGAACATGTGACGTTATTTCTTGAACCTAGATGTCAAGACAATATTGTTCCTATTAAATTTCAATTTATTACCTTTGACTGAACATTCCATCCTATTAAGATAATTTTGATTACTGATTCTCATCTAATACATTATTTATCTCTAGCTTTGAATCACCTGAGAATCTGATAAACTTGTTATCTATGATTTTATCCAAATCACTGATAAAAATGATAAACAAAAGCAAAAGACTAAATAGATTCCTGGAGTATCAACTAAAGACCTCCTTTCACCATGCCATCAAAATATTAAGAACTGCTCTTTGGGTCTGGCCATTTAAACAATTCCAAATCCACCTAAATGCATAATGGTCCAGAATCCACATTACTCTACCCCAACTAAAATAGCAAAAGACACTTTGTCAAATGCTTTGCTGAAATCTGGGCAAACTATCTACAGCATTCTCCTATTCTACAAGTCTGGTTACCCTATTTAAAAAAAGGATATGAGGTTAGTCTGGCATGACCTGTTTTTTTTTTGTTTTGTGAGGCAATCAGGGTTAAGTGACTTGTGCAGGGTCACACAGCTAGTAAGTGTTATATGTCTGAGGCCACATTTGAACTCAGGTCCTCTTGACTGCAAGGCCAGAGCTCTATCCACTGTACCACCTAGCTACCCTGTATGACCTGTTCTTGATAAGTGAAGCTGGTTCTTTGTGATCAGATTCCATTTCTAGATACTGACTAATAATCCCTGTAATACTGTGATAGAATTCTGCCAGGAATTAAAGTCAAGCTCATTGGCATACAAGTCTGAAAACCCCAGTCCAGAAGTACTCTTACCATTCTGCAGCCTTTTAAAGATCAACAATCATGATCCCTGGTTCTTTCACAAACCCGGGATGTAGTTCTTCTGGGATTGGCAACTTGAACTAATCAGGGACTACTAGGTAGGTGTTTGTTCTCTTACTATCTCTCCTTCCTATCTTGGGTTTTAATTCTTTATTATCCAAATTTAGTCTGTCCTTTTCCAGTCCTTTCTGTTAAGGATACCACCATTCTTCTGGGCCTCAGGACTTTTCATCTAGAATGAAGTTACTCTTTTCCCTCCCTCCTCAAATTACTTTGTGTTTAGTTATCTGTGTACCCCCTGTTGGATCTCCCAGGAGACCGTAAGCAACTTTACGGCAAAAACGGTCTTTTTTGTGTTTCTGTCCTGAGCACCTTGCAGTACATTATAAGAAACATTTATTTACTTGAATCTAAGTTAATTTTGACTCTTCTCACTCCTTGGGCTTCCATGTTTAATTGCCTGCAAATTCCTGACAATCTTCCTTCAAAATATTTCTTGAATATGTACCTTTCTCTCCATTCTCACTGCTTCCACTCCTATAACTTCATTATTCCACTTACCTTGTAATTGACTTTTCTACTCCTGTTTTTTACCCACCCCTGCTGGAGTAATCTTTATAAAATGCCATTTTCATCATGCCAATATTATCATCATCAATAATAAATCATATTTATTTGGCAGCACAAGTATTATTATCACCATTTTACAGATGAAGAAACAGAGATTCAGACACAGTTCAGAATAGAGCTGAGCTTTGAAGCCTGGTCTCCTGACTCTAATGATCTTTCTACCACCTCGTGCTTCTTTTCAGTAGGTAGTCCCTTATTCTGGAGTTTACAATGGCTATTTATTGTTACCAGTTCAAGTCCATGTTCCTCAGTCTGACCAAAAAAAAAAATCATAGGATTTATAGATGGAAAGTGCCTTAGAGATTATCCAGATTCAACCTCATTTTACCAATGAGGAAACTAAGGCCCACAAAAGTAAGTGACCTGCTCAAGGCCATACAAGTTTATTAGTAGAGGTTGGGTTCAAACTAGGTCTCCAAATCCAGTGTTTTTCTCTCATTACATACGGCATTAAATGTCTGCTATTGCTGTCCCACTATTTTTGACCACGATTCCTCCAGATATTAGACTGTGCCAACCCATACCTCACTTATTTTGTTTATTCATTCTATTCCCTATAGAATGCTTTTCTACGCATATCCTTTGCTTACTCATTATATTCATCCTTTAAAATCCAACTCGTGTTCATTTAACCCCTCTCAATTCCTCCAAGATTTATGTACATCCCACTGTATGTCTCCATCAAGGTCATCTGTTGGACTTTCTCTGGACCTCAGTTCCCATAATATGTAAAACGGTTCTACTGCTTCCTGTATTCCCTGTCTCACAGGATTATTGTAAGAATTAAATGAGACTGGACACTGAGTACTTTGTAAACCATAAAGCTTCAGTCACCATTCTCTTTGTTTTTGGATTCCTGTTCAGTCTCCAGAAGGCAGGGACCCAGACTTCCAATGGCTTTCCAACTGCTTAGTTTTTTACAAGCAGCTATTCTTTCCTTCCTACCTACAGTGCTGAGAATAAAGAGGGTGCTCAAGGAAATAAGTTGGATATCTGGTCTGGTGAAGGCACTGGACCAAAAAGGGGGTCAACACCTAGGAAGGAAGCAAACATGTCAGCATTTCATAGACATGGCATTTGGAATACAGGTGATGAACTCACTTTTTGATTTTCCCCCGATATGAAATACTTCCACATGTGAAAACACTGACAAACTTGGCAAAAGCCCCATGACCACAAAGACTCAATGCGACATTGCTTTCTGAGGCCCCTCACGGGTGGAAAGGCCTGAGGCTTTTCCTGGTATAGGATGGGAAATTAGCTCAGCTAAGTGATGCAGAGATGTGGAAGGAAGCTCACTTGTTGTCCTGATGCTGGACCTAAAAAGCAAATAACATCTTGGGGGTATTTCTATATTTAAAGTACAGTGGTTAAAAGGACTGGGGTGATAAGTCTCACTCTACTCTGCCCTGGTCAGGCCATTGCTAGAGTATTATGTTCATTTCTGGGGGCATTTCAGGAAGAACAAAGACTAATTGGAAAACAATTAAAGCAAGGGAACTAGGATGGTGAGAAAACTTGAGGCCATGCCTTATATGGGCTCAATCAAAGGAACCAGATATGCTTAGCCTGAGGAACAGAAGAGATGGCATGACAGTTGTCTTTAAATATCTGAAGGCCTGTCAAGAGTAATTAGACTTGTTCTGATTGGCCCCATTAAGAAGAATAGGACTAATGGATGAAAGTTACAGGGAGACAGATTTTGATTCAATATGAGGAACTTCTTCAAATTCCATGGTTCCTACAGTGGAATGAAATATTTTGTAAAGTTGTGAGCTCTGTTCTTGAAGATGTCCAAGTGGAAGTTAGATGACCACTTGTAGGGGGTGTTGTAGTAAAGGGGATTTATGCTTTTAGGTAAGGGTCTGGATGGCTGACTTAAATTCCATCCAGATCTGAGATGCTATAATTCTGTGCCTGGGGTCTATATGGCTCCATGAGACTAGAGAGTTGCCAAGGGCAGCAAAGGGGTTAAGGTTTAAATAACTGTTTTATATATGAATTAATGTGTGGAGCTAGGAGCCAAAATCTGTTCCATTAATTTTTCCATCTATTCCAGGAGCAGTTAGGTACACACAGTAAAGTTTATTTTGGTATACTTCACTCCATTAAAAATAAATTAATCAGCAAATTCCTGCCTTGCTCAGTCCTGTTTTATGTGAATATTGCCCAGCTGTAATGAGTTACAAGGTGTTATTATCTCACACACACAGGAGGCTTCTCTCTAGAGCTCAACTTGCAACAAAAGCATCTTAAATAAACTGAGAGAAGGCTGTTTGGTTTGTAATGTTTTCACAGAAGTGGGATATATACCTCACACATATAGAGTTTCTTTATATGACTCATTTTATAACAAGTTAAATGGAGGAAGTTTGCTTTGGGAAAAAAAAATGAACAATACGACTTTTTTTTTTCCCAATCCAAAGAAAATACCCTGGGGAGGTGGCCGCATCCAGAAAGGGAGGGGTCAGGTCCCCAAAGCCTGGTGATGGGGGTCACTCTGAATTTGGGCAGAAGGACAAGCCAGTTCAGGAATATAAAGAAGAGACTGGTGCATGACTGGGCCCTGGACCCCAGGCCCCATCACACTACTGAAGGAAGGAGGAATCCTTCCTCCCCTAGCCAAATCCTCCTAAAGAAGGGAAACAGAAAGAAAAGATGAGATCATGTTTTCCATCTGGTGCATCAAGGTGGACTCAGAGAGAGGAGGGCATGCTGTCCTGGTGCAAGTTGAGGTCCTTTAGGGAACTGCGAGGTGAGTAGCCTCTGGGGCCTGGCTGTCCTCAGAATGACTACAGCATCTCCAGAAAGAGGATCTGCTTTGGGAGTCAATGAATGGGGACTCCTGAGAGTTGGTCCTTGCCAACCACTTTCGGGGGGGGGCACCCCACAGCTTATGCTAACTCCACCTCAAATGACTTTCAGCAACATCTCCAAAACAAAGAAAAACCGTGGCAGAGATAATTCTCTATTTCTTTTAATTCCCAACTCGACGCTCTGCTTCATGTGGAGGGATAGATGCATCCCAATCCATCTGCTCTCAGTAGCATTGCAAAGAATTCCATGGGTAAAGAAGGCCTAGGACTGGGGGTGCCTTCTTCTATCACCTCCCCCACAAGGGCCCTGGGGAAAGCATACACACATAGCTGTCTGGGGAGGGGAGGGGAGGTCCCTGCAGAATTTCTTGGAGGAGAAAGCTCTTCCCCAGTGAGTTCCTTGGGACAGCTTGCATGTCTCCCAGCACCCTGCTGCAAAGTGGCCCCACCCAGTACCCCCCAGGCCAACTTCAGGGCGCATTAAAAGGGAAATCAATACAAACAGGGGCCAGGTGTTCTACAGATGTTGTTCAATGGTTAATCCGGCCTCTTCCTGCTGGGCCCGGGGTGGCAGGTACCTTGTTCCTAGCTTCTCCTCAAAGGCAGCTGCTCCATAGCTTGAAGGGACCACCCCTCAAAGGCCTTCATCATTGTATGTTGGTAAGTTGGGTTTAAGAACGCTTTGGGGATTTTTCTCCACGAGAGGGCGCCAAGTCACCTCCCCAGTTAAGAGAAGTTCTTCCCCATTCATGGAATCCAGGTACTGCATCTGCAAGCAAGGGGTAGAGAAATAATGCCACAGACATTAGCTGGGATAGAAGACAGGATAGTTCAGCCATCTTTTTTCTATTAAATAAGAGTTAAGGGAGATATTTAATCAACCTAACTTTCCAGATCCCCTCCAACCCCCCCAAACGGAGATACCTAAAGAATCCAATGTTCATTTTGCCACAGAAGCTCCTAGAGGCAGAAGTCCCTGAGGCTACTCTAGGAAGTATAGAAATCTTAAGGTATGTACACCTGTGCACCTTCCAGAAATCAGAGGACCCCCACCCCTTTGAAGGTCCATATACCCTAGCAATTTCTCTATATGGCATCATGGCTGACTCATTCTGCTTCGAGCTTCCACAGAATCCCAGGAGGAGAGCTGAAAGAGCCCAGGACCTCAAAGGCTATCAAGTCCACCCCCCCTAGCCCACACAGGCTGTTGTTATTTACCTTGGCTTTAAGACCTCTCATGATGGCTATCCTGATGGGGAACACATTTCCTGAGGCTTCCCACTATATTTGTTAGGAAGCTTTTCCTTATATTGGACTGAAATTTACACCCCTGTAAGACTCCCCCCCGACCCCAATCTCCCCGACTTCTGCTTTCCAGAGCAAAGAGAAGATATGTAAGGAAGAGAGGGAGGATAAGGCTATTATGGGGAAAAAGGATCAGACTTGTTCTGTTTGGCCCCAAAGGGCAAATCTAGGACCAAGGGGTGGAACCTCCAAAGGGGCCAACTTAAGCCTGATGTCAGGACATACTTCCTAACAGCTGCCAAGGGGGGTAGTGAGTGTGTGTGTGTGTGTGTGTGTGTGTGTGTGTGTGTGTGTGTGTGTGTGTGTGTGTGTGTGTGTGTGTTCCAATCACATATAAAAACATTTTTTTTACCTTTTTTTTAAAAACAATTTTGAGTTCCAAATTCTCTCCTCCCCTCTCCCCCATGGAGAAGGCAAGCAATTTGATAGTTTATACATGTGCAGTCACGCAAAACATATTTCCATATTAATCACATTGTGAAAGAAAACAAACTCCAAGAAAAATAAGGAAAGGAAAAACAAACAAACAATATGCTTCGATCTGCATTCATATTCCACCAGTTCTTTCTCTGGAGGTGGACAGCATATTTCATCACAGGTCCTTCACAATTGTCTTGGATCTTTGTATTGCCGAGAACAGCTAAGTCATTCACAGTTGACCACTGTAGGTACCAATGTTCTTCTAGTTCTACTCATTTCACTTCGCATCAGTTATGTAAATCTTTCCAGGCTTTTCTTTTTTAAAATTTTAAATTAATTAAACTGATTTTTAAAAATGAAAACAAAATTTTTATTTCTTTAAAGAAATACTTTCACCATGATGCCCCAGTAAAATAGGAATAGTGGAATCACAACACTGTCTAATTTTAATTCAATTCAAAATAGCAACTCTGCCATTTCATATTTGTGTGGCCCTAGGCAAGTCTTTTCCCCTCTCTGGGCTGCAGTCACTCATCTGTAAAATGGAGGGTTTAGAATCAATGATTTCTAAAGTCTCTTTCTTCTATAAAACCCATAGGGAGCTCAATTTTCAGGTTTTTCTGAAAGCATCCTGTTCATGATTTCTTATAGCACGATAGTATTCCATCACAATCATATACCACAACTTGTTTAGCCATTCCCCAACTGATAGACATTCCAGAATAATGTTTCTAAAGGCATAAAAGAAAATATATAGGCTTACAAAGGAAATCAATTTTATTGAAGTTCACATTACTGTTATTGTTCAGTCCGTGACCCTAAGTACTGTAGCATGCCAGGCACTTCTATCCACCATTATCTCTTAAAGTATGTTCTATATCCATGTTCATTGTTTCCATGAAGCTATCTAACTATCTCATCCTCTGCTGTCCCCTTTTCCTTCTGCCTTCAATCTTTCCCAACATCAGGGTCTTTTCCAATAAGTCCTATCTTCTCATGATGTGGCCAAAGTGCTTCAGCTTCAGTATTTGACCTTTCAGTGAATAACCTGAATTAATTTATTTAAATATTGACTGATTTGATATCCTTGCTGTCCAAGGCTCTCTCAAAAGTCTTATGCAGCACCATAATTTGAAAGCATCAATTCTGCAACTTTCAGAGCCATACAATGCTACTGAAAAAACCATGATTTTGACTATATGGACTTTTGTCCGTATAGTTAGAGTATATTTATCAAAATATAAAAAATACAAGTTCATGGACACCAGATTAAGAATTCCTGATCTAGCCTTGCCCCTTCATTTTATAGCTAAAGAGAAAGAGGCCTGGCAAGGGAAAGATCATGTCTGGATCTCAGAGTGAGTATACAGCAAAATTAAGGCTAGAACCTAGGTCTCTTGGTCAGGCCCTTTGTTCAGGGCTCTTTCCATTAACTGCCTCTGTGCTGGCCAAGAGGGCAAAGGATGCTTTACTAGCTAATGTTTCTCTTGGAGGATGAGTCCAGGAGATGATGAAACTCTTGAGTAGGATCAAGAACTGGCCTGGCCTCCAAAGCTGCTTTTGGCCTGGGTCCAACAGCACCTCAGTCTATAGGCTTTTCTTACCCTGAACATCTAAGCCTATTCTTTGACCCCACTGTCTTCTTAGGGAATAATACTGGGAACTTTTTCCTTTTGGCTATTGAGCTAGATTCGGTTTTAGTGCGTCAGCCTGGTCAGGCCTGAAGAAAGCAAATGAGTAACTTGGGGCGGGGGGGGGGGGTGTCACCAGAGAGCCAGAGACCTGACTTACTGGCCATCTTGAATCCAGGAACTATCTGAGAGACCAGAGGCAGCTGGTAAGTTCATGAATCAACCCACCCAGGTGGTTCTTAGATTTGGGCTCTTGCAGCTGAAAAACTAAGAAACCACAGGAAGGTCACCTCTTTCTAGATTTCAATTTCTTCATCACTAAATGAGGATGATAGTATATGTACTATGCTATGTACATTTGATGGGGGAGATTCGGTCCTGTTACCACAAGATTTCTGGAAACTTTGGAATCACAAGACCATAACTATCAGGACATCCTATCAGATTCAAATAATCAATCTCCTGACTCTACCTAAGCCATCTCTCTTCCTGAGGTTGGTCCCCAAACCTGTCCTGGGCCAGAGCTGTGAGCTCAGGAATTATGGTTTCCTAAGAGGGTGGATGTGCTGGTATATGCAGTGGCAGGGAGGAGGGAGAGAAAATAAATGCTTGTTAACTGAAAACAATTTTAAATGGAAGAGGAATTTTCAGTTTTAAAGAAATTAAACTTTCCAATGGGCTCTAAGGTATGAAATTAAAGACCAATAAAGGAGATTCAACTGTTGCCTAATGGGATTACTGACACAAACAGGCATAGGCCAGGGTTTTCCCAAAGGCAACTGCCTTGTTAGCAGTTAACTAGGGGTCAGTGGTCTTTGTGGCCACAAGTTGCCCATGGTGAAATACCTAAGAAAAACTAAAAAGATCACTGGGCAGCATGTGTTCCTAAACTATGCCAGTGGAAACCATGTCACCTTTCTCAACAAGATAAAATATAAAGGGTATGTGTATTGCCTCATACTTCCCTCCCCTTGGTATTTAAAGACTTCCACTGGACTGAATCTGCTCCCTATGCCTGCAATGTCCTTCTGCCCTTTGTACCACTGTGTCTCAATCCCACCCATTCATCAGTTCTCAGTTCAAGTCTCAAAGCCCTTTCTGCCTACTCCAGTGATCTCCCCTGTTCTGAAATCCTACAGCCCTGAGAGTTCATAACCTTTTTTTGTGTCCTGGACTCCTTTGGCAGTATGGTGAAGACTATGGATCCCTTCTCAGAATGGTTTTAAATGAATAAAATAAAAAACATATGATTGCAAAGGAAACTACTTATTACAAAACATTTTTTAAAGTTCAAGTTAAGAACCCCTGCCTAAAAACCTAAATCCATGATTTATCACTTAGATGCTGCTTTATTCTTCCTTTGCTTGGCATTTAAGGCTCTTCACAATCTGATTCCATCCTTCCTTTCTACTCCTACTTTGATCTACTCTATGTTCCAACAAACAGGACTGCCCTCTGTCTAACAAACATGCCCTTTGGTTTCCCATGGCTTCGCTCATCCTGCTCCTTATTCCTGGAATGTCCATCCTCTCCATTTAAGTCAGGTGAATCCTTGTCCAGTTCTTTAAGGTTCAATTCAAACGTCATCTCAGTGAGGCTTTACTTGACCCCACAGTCCAAAAAGATCTTCTCCTTCAGACTTTACAAAGCATTTTGTCCTGTATTTCTAATTTACTTATCATATAATATTATCTACCATAGTTATCTTGTATTTATGTCCTCTTCCTCACTAGACTGCGAGCTTCCTGAGAGCCAGTACCAAGTCTTACCTAAAGTCTTTATCTCTTTGAACACTGAGCACAGCATAGGGCTCAGAATTCAGTACATGCTTAATAAACATTTGTTGAATGAATAAATAAATGAATGATGGTTTCATGTTAATCTGATCTCCTAAACAAGATGATAAGTTCTTTAAGGGTAGAAGCTGCTGTCTTCTCCTCTTGAAGCACTGATGTGGGCACACAACATGCCCTCAATCAATTCTTACTGATGACTGATCTGGCCCCCTCAAATCCCTTCATGCCTGACCAGCCAGTCAGCCAGGGAGCCATGGTATTTTGTCACTGCAAAAGATGCTGCCCTGTTCTCAGGTAACATAGCATCCATGGACTCAGGGAAATAATCAGTGCCAGGAGAACTGATCCATGTTTACTAAGTGCCTACTATGTGGAAGGCCCTATGCTAAGCACTGAGGATTCAAGATAGTTATAACTCAGGTCCTGTTGTCCAGGAACCTATAAATTAATTGGGATGAAAAATAGCACAAATAATGATACAAAGCAAAGTAAATAACTGTAAAGTGGAGATCTAGGAAAAAGTGGAAGTAGAAATCTGAGGAAGAAGAGATACAAAGGACATAGAAAGGAAGCCAAAGATTCGGACAGACACTTTGCAACTCAGAGGATAGCAGTGGCAGCTATAGGACTGTGAGAGGGTAGCAATTTCCAGAGGGATTTCTAACTTTTGAACACAGCATAACATCTGCTGAATTTTCACCTAATATTAGTGGGCAGATAGAATTTACAAGGAAAAATTTAGTTTCCTGAAATAAAAAACAGAACAATGCTTAGTACTGGGATGTAACACCTACCTGCTTCCTAACATACTCTACCAGTAGCTCCAATTGTCGGGGGTCTTCACATTGCTGATTAAAAAAAGTCCTCCAGAGAGCAGCAGCCAGCCCATGATCATCTGACAGGATGCCCTGTAACACAATGGGGTTGAGAATTGGGTTCACATAGAGGGAGTTGCCCTGAGCAGGCCTAGGGCACAGTGCCCAAAAGAACTCAAAGGAGCTGAGTCAAGGAGCTCTCTGAGTGGGTACCCTCTGAACACTGTGTGGCCTGGCTCCTTCCTCAGACACTGGGCAGTTATGTCTCTGTCAGGCTGTCCTCTCCTGTCAGAGGAGGAAGGGCACACAGGCCATGTCATTGGAAAGTATCAGATGAAACGACATCAGGGAGTGCTAGTGTAACATGCTCTAAAGTAAGAATTCTTAATTTTTGTTTTGTGTTTCTGTTGTGGATGACTGTGAACTCTATGGAACCTTCTCAGAATCATTTTTAAATGATTTAAATAGAGGCAGTGAGGTGGCGCAGTGGATAGAGCACTGGCTCTGGAGTCAGGAGGACCTGAGTTCAAATCTGGTCTCAGACACTTGACATTTACTAGCCGTATGACCATGAGCAAGTCACTTAACACTGATGGTCTCACCCCCCCCCAAAAAAAGACACAAAGTAAAATATGTAGAATTACAAAGTCAATTATGTTGAAATACAGTTATCAACATGTTTTTCTCATCCAAGTTGGGAAATGCCCTGAAATCTATCCACCAACCCTTTGGCCATCTGTGCTCCCCAGGGGTTAAGAACTGCTATTATAGAGACACAGTCACAAAGCCTCAGAGACCATCTAGTCTAGTTTCCCCAACATTACAGAGGAGGAAGTTAAGGCCCACAGAAGGAAAAGCTAATGCAATCTTAGATTGCATTAACAGATAGTACAGTGCTGAGGCCTAAGGAAGGGACAGAAAGGTGCACACTGCCTCGGTCAGACCACATGTGGAACACTGCAATCAATTCTAGGGGCCATGTTTTTTCAAGGTCATTGATGAGCTAAGAGCATCTAGAGGAGGGCAACAAGTATAATGACAGATCTATAGTTCATGCCATGATGGTTGGCTGTAGGTCCTAAGCATGTTTAGCCTACAAAGAAGAGGGAGAATGTGATAGTTACCTTCAAGTATTTGAAAGGTTCTCATATGGAAAAGAGAACAAACTTGTTCTTCTTAGTTGGGGTGAGGGGTGGGGCAAGATGGGTGTGTGTGCCAGAACTAGGAACAAGACATGGAATTTATAGTTGACTTGAAATAAGGAAAAACTTCCTAACTATTAGACCTATTTAAAAGTAGAATGGGCTGTCTTTGGCGGTAGTCTGTTTCCCTTCATGGGAAGTCTTCCAAATAAAGCCTAGCAGAACACTTTGTTGGGTTTCTTGTTCAGGTGTGGAGCCTGGATGACCTCTGAGGTCCTTCCTATCTCCAAGATTCCATGAATGGGATGTAGGTAAGTCAGTGGCTGAGACAGGACGGAAGCCCAGAAGTCCTTCTCCAGGACCCTGGCATGACAGCAAACCGCCGGGTGGGACACTAAGTGGGAAAGTAGCAGCAGTGGTTCTGCATCTGTGTTTCCTCCAGTGTCTCCCACTCATCAAAGTAATACATGCTCTTCCATCGTGGAGAGGCCATATGGTCAGAGTTGTTTGTTTGGTAACAGAGATAGCCTTGGTCTATGTTTCCTGGCTTAGTCACCTGTAACCATGGTACAAACTCCTATTTGTATGGATCTTTATGGTTAGAAAGTACTTACATAAAACATCTCATGTGATCTTCCCAACAAGCCTTCTGAGGAAAGTAATGAGGTAACCTCATTTTAAAGATGAGGAAACTGAGGCTCAAAGAAATGGAATGACCTGTTCAAGATTATACTACTAATAAATGGCAGTAGTCTGAGAGCTGAGAATAGAACCCGTGTTCTTTGACAAGTGCAGGCAACAGTTTTCTGCAGGTTACCTGCTGCCTTCCCTTTGAACAGCAGCCCATATCTTCAAGACAAGAGACAGGAACCATCTTATAGAGGCTCACTTTTTCTTTGGTCCCTACGGAGCTAGAAATGGCTTTGGTGGTTCCACTACCCCTAATTTTATTAACCCACTATATGAGCTAGCCAGTATAGCCTAGCCTAGCCCTCCCATATGCAGAGGAAAGGAGAGCCCAGAAACATCATCATGAGCAGCAATGGGTGATGATACACAACCTGATTTATGCGCATACGTCACAGCTCCCCTCCTTGAGCTCCTCCAGGGGCTAATCAGGGTATATCGTTCCTACCCAGGAACTCTTACTTCCCACCTCAGTCCTCTGTATCTGTGGCTCCAGAGTGATATTAGCAGGCATCATGGTATAGTGGAATGAACCTTGGATTTGCAATCAAAAGACCTAGATTCAAATGCTGATGTTGCCACTCACTATCTGTAAGACCCTCAACAAGTTGCCTAACCCCTCTGAGACTCAGTTTCCTCACCTGCAAAATGAAGGAGCTGGACTAGATGTCCTCTAGGGTACCTTTCACTTCCAAATATATGGTCCTATGAAATGGACCCAGGGATCTGTGGCTGTGAAAAGATGCTGCATCTTGTTGGCTTCAGAGACACATATTCAAAAGGCTGGCGACAGCCATCAATCCATCAATCTATAAGGAGTCTAGTCCTGCTGTCACAAGCTACATACCCTTCATGGTTGCTGATGGACTGGCTGAAAATGTTTCACCTCAAACATCCCTTGATAAACACCCCCACAATTCAACAGCTTGGCCTGGGAGCTAAGGAAGAAGCCAGCTTCCTCCAGAAGGCAGGGCTGAGGCCCAGGGACAAGCTCAGGCATGTCGTGGTTTTTTTGAGCACTTGGCTAATGAAACTGCCTGTGTGTATAAGCCTGAGATGCCCTGGGCACAGGCTGCAGTGGGGCTGTCATGAATATTCATATAGTGTGAGGCAGAGGCTGCAAGAACTAGGAGAACAGGGAAGAAGATTAGGAAGTAAAAGCCAGGGAGCAGTGTCACATAACAAACTGGGGCAGTCTTAGGAAAGAAGGAAGGGGGATGATGGGCACAGGTTGGAAATCACTGAAGTCTAGTAGTGAAGGGAAAGGGAGACTAAGGTCCTTTTAATGGTCATAATGCTAAGTCAAAATAATTACCTTTCATCTCTGCCCAGTACTTGTTACTTTACAGAGCATTCTTACGCACATTATGCCATCTGTCTCTCATAGCAAAGCTAGATGTAATGTGGCCAAGGAAAAAGCACACTGCACAGGGAGATGGGAGACCTGGGATATAATCCCAGCTCTGCACTGACCAGCTGTGGGAAGGACACATTTCTTCCTGTCTCTGGGTCTCATTTTCTTCTTCTGAAACATGAAGGTTTAGACTAAATGATCTCTAAGGGTCCTTCCAACTCCGATCTTCTATGATCTTCCAATTTACCTCTCCAGCCCAAGTTCTTCCTTTGAAAAATTCTGGCCTGACTTACCTCAGCTGATTGTTCCTAAAGCAAGACTGAAAGTTGAAAAGGGGGGATCTTCCTCATCTTCTGCCACGCCCTTCTCCTTCACAATAATGCCTAGCACAAGGGCTATGCACAAGCCAGACACTTAAATGCTTTTCGATTAGACTGTAAAGTAGGGATAATGCATGAGTAGTCTAACTCCTACTCAGGTTGCTGTAATGAAGATAAACAGGAATCCACTGAAAAAAGGTATTCGGGGGGGGGGCACGCAGCTAGGTGGTACAGTGGATAGAGCACCGGCCCTGGATTCAGGAGGACCTGAGTTCAGACACATAACACTTACTAGCTATGAGACCCTGGGCAAGTCACTTAACTCCACTGCCTAGCTAAAAAAAAGGTATTCTGGCAAATATAAAAGCACCATGTAAGTCCACCACTGGAAAAACAAAACATCTTGGGAACTTGAGTCTCTGAGATTTCATTTGGGCTCAGCCCTTGGGCCATGAGTTCCTAAGCTTAATAAACTTCGCTGTCCCCCACTTGTGAAGTGACTTTCCCTCCCAGAGCCAACACCATAGTTCACTGGAGGTCGCTGGCAAATTCCCAGCCATCTAGAAGCCAAGGAGAAAATGCAGTCCTGGAAAACAAAGTCATGTGACTGTGATGGCCACAATTAATCAATCAATAAACATTTTCTAAGTGCCTACTATGTGCCAGGCACCATGCTAAGTGCTGGGCCACAAGATATCGAAGGTTTCAACAGTACCTTTGGAATCACAAAAAAACAGAGAAAATTATACTTCCTGTTTCAGGACTCCTGCAATATCATTGGTGTGGGAAATGACCTGGTAAGGAAATGCTATCTACCAATGCAGATTACTCTCCCCACCCCAGATTATTTTATTCCATTATAATTCTTTGAAAATGACTAACTCAATAAATGGTAACTATCCTTCAAACAGAATATTCAATTTAACCAGTCTAGGCATAGGTATCTGGATTTAACTGTCTCATATCTGTTCATCTAAGTTTTACCTATATTTCCAGGGCCAGCTCAAGTCCCACCCACTTCAAAAAGCCTTCCTTGATAGCCCAAACTCTTGGACAACTGTCCTCCCTCTGACCCCAGAATAACTTCCACTGTGTCACCCACCAGGCACAGTCAATCAACAAGCACTTACTAGGTGCTTACTATGTGCCAGGCACTAGGCTAAGAACACAAAGACAAAAGTAAAATACTCACTGCCCTTGAAAAGCTTATAGTCTAATGAGGGGAAACACTACATAAATATATACATGATGATCTTGGAAGAAGGAAAAGCTTCATTCAGAAGGCGAAGCTGAGTTATGAAGGAAACAAGGGATTCTAAGAAATTAAAGTGCAGAGGAAGTGAATTCCAAGCACAGAGTAACCAGGGCAGAGGCACTAAAATAGGAAATAGTGTGGTGTAAGTGAGGAACAGTGAGAAGGCCAGTTTGGCTGGACTATTGTATAAATGAAATGAAGTAATACATAACAAGGTTGGAAAGGTAGTAAGAGGTCAGGTTAGGAAAGGTTTTAAATGTCAAACAGAGGAGTTTGCTTTTTAATCTAGAGGTAACAATGAGCCAGTGGAGTTTACTGAGTTGAGGAGTGATGTGACTGATCCACTTTAAGAAACTGACTTTGCAGCTATTTGGAGGATGGATTAGAAAGTGAAGAAGCTTGAAGGAGGAAGACCAACTGGGAGGGTACATCAGTAGTATAGGTAAGAGATAAGACCTAAACGAGGGTTGTGGGGAGAACAGACATGAGAGATGGTATGGAGGTCGATATAACATCTGGCAACTGACTGGATATGCAGAATGAATGAGAATGTGGAGCTGAGGATGACTATGGAGTCTCAAACCTAGGACAATGAAAAAATGGTGGTACCCTCAGTATAAATGGGGCAATGCTGTAAGAGAGGCAGCTTTTTTGGAGCTCTATGATAAGTTCAGTTTGGGGCCTGCTGAGTTTGCGATGTCTATAGGATAACGAGTTCGAGATGTTTAGTAGGTAATTTGGATTGCGTAGCCAGAGCTCGGGACTAGGGTTAAGAGTGTCATCAGCTCAACAGTAACTGGACGATGAGGAAGACACCAAGGGACAGACTGTGGTAAGAGAAGAAAGGAGTGCACAAGGCAGAGAATTAGGGTATACTCAAAGTTGGGAGAGATATAATATGGATGATAAATCAGTAAACTGAAAAGGAGTAGTCAGACAGTTAGAAGAGGGACCAACAGATACAACAATTATAAAAATCCAGCCTTAAATACTAGAGAAAGGTTGAGAAAGATCAGAATTTTTAAAAGGGCATCAGGTCTGACAACTAAGAGAACAAAGTTAACTATTAAGAGAGCAGTTTCAGATTAGCGGAAGCCAGAGTTCAAAGAACTAAGAAGCAGGGGCAGCTAGGTGGCGCAGTGGATACAGCATTGGCCCTGGAGTCAGGAGGACCTGAGTTCAAATTCGGTTCCAGACATTTGACACTTAGTAGCTGTGTGACTCCTGAGCAAGTCACTTAACCCCAATTGCCTCATCAAAAAATTTAAAAAACAAAGAACTAAGAAGTAAGAGGAGAAGAAGTATAGACAAGGGATATAGACAGCATTTTGTAAAAGTCTGTTGGAAAAAGGAAGTTACAGGATGAAAGCATAAGGATATGGTTGGTTCTGAAATGACTTCATAAGGATGAGGTATACAGGAATGATTGTAGTCAGCAGGAAAGGAACCAGTAAATAGGGAGAGGGTGACCATAAAAGACAGAGGGGAGGACAGTATCAGGGCAAATTGCCTGAGAAAACAGGAGGGCATAGGATCAAAGACAGATGTAGAGGGATTGCCTTAGCAAGGAGAAGGATCATCCTACAGAGACTGAGATGATGTCAAGGTGTTGCAAGATACAGAGGAGAGAAAAGGGAGTTCAAGACAAATGCTCCTCTATTTGCTCAGAAAAGAACTTAGCAGGGTCCTCAGCTATGAGGATGAATTAGGGGTGGTGGGTGACTTAAAAAGAAAAAAGACAGTTTGGAATAGCCACTAAGGAGAGCTGAGTGAGAATCAATTAGGGAGGATCAATTCAAGCACTGTACTAAGGAACAGGGATACAAGGAAAAGCAAAAACAGTCCCTACCCTCAAGCAGCTCACATGGTAATGAAGGAGACAACATGCAAACAACTATATACATGTAAGATATATATTGGATAAAGTGGAGGTAATCTTAGAGGGAAGGCACAAGGATGGAGTGTGCATGTAGAAGATGACTGGGAAAGGCCTTTTGCAAAAGGTAGGATTTGATCTGAGTCATAAAGGAAAGCAGACAAATCAGAAGGCAGAGATGAGGAGGGAGAAAATTCCAGACATGTGGGACAGGAAGTGAAAAGGCCTGGAACCAGGAGAGATGGAACATTATGTGCAAGGAACAGAAGGCAGCCAGTGTTAGTGGAGCACAGAGCATGTGGAAGAGTATAAAGGGTCAGAAGGCTGGAAAGGTAGGCAAGAACTAGTTTGTGAAGAGTTTTAAAAGTCAAAGGATCTCACATTTGATCCTGGAGATAAGAAAGGCACTAGAGTTTACTGAGGAGGGATATACATGGTCAGCTAAGTGGAGGATGAACTTTCTAATTTAGGGAGAGACTTGAAGCTGGGAGATAAACAAGAAGGCTACTGCAATAGACCAGGGCAGGTATGAGGTGAGGAGGGGTTGCACCAAGGTGGCAGCTCTGTCAGAAGAGAGGGACACAAGCAAGAACCGTTGTGGAGGTAGAACTGACAGGGCTTGGCAACAGACTTGACGGGGGATTAAGTGTGAGAAATCAAGGATGGCACTGAGGTTGTGAGCCTGGATGACTACGAGGGATGTTACTGCCCTTGACAGAAATAAGGGAGGGTTTTCTAAAACTGAAGATAATGAGTTCAGTTTTAGATATGTTGGGTTCAGTATGTTTATGAGACATTCAATTCAGTATGTCCAATAGGCACCTAGAGCTTCACAAGGGGAGATCAGTAGAGAGATTAAGAGCTGGATAAACAGATCTGCACATCTGCACAGAAAAGATAATTGAATCTATGGAATCTGATGAGATCACCAAGTAAATAAATACATATAGAGAAAAGAAGCCAGTCCAGGACAAAGCCTTGTGGGCATGACCTAGGAATCGTAAATCAGAATAAGGAGTGGCCAGACAGGTAGGAAGAAAAGCAGAAGAGAACAGCGTTATGAAAACCTAGAGAGAAGAGAGTATCCAGGAGGAGAGGGTGACTGACAGTATCAAAGGCCACAGAGAAGTCAAGGAGGAGGAGGAGGATTAAGAAAAGACCACTAGATAAACTGAAAAGTTTTTGCACAAACAAAGCCAATGCAACTAAGATTAGAAGGAAGGTAGAAAATTGGGAAAGAATTTTTACAACTAGTCTCTCTGATAAGGGCCTCATTTCTAAAATATATAGAGAATTAAGACAAATTTATAAGAATACAAGCCATTCCCCAACTGATAAATGGTCAAAGGATATGAACAGACAATTCTCAGATGAAGAAATTAAAGCCATCTATAGTCATATGAAAAAATGCTCTAAATCATTATTGATTAGAGAAATGCAAATCAAAACAACTCTGAGGTACCACATCACACCTATCAGAAAGGCCAACATAACAAAACAGGAAAATGATAAATGTTGGAGAAATGTGGGAAAATTGGAACACTAATGCATTGTTGGTGGAGTTGTGAAATGATCCAACTATTTTGGAGAACAATTTGGAACTATGCCCAAAGGGCTACAAAAATGTGCATACCCTTTGATCCAGCAATAGCACTTCTAGGGCTATATTCCAAAGAGCTCATACAGATGGGAAAGGGACCCACATGTACAAAAATATTCATAGCAGCTCTTTCTGTGGTGGCAAAGAATTGGAAATTGAGAGGATGCCCATTAACTGGGGAATGGCTGAGCAAGTTGTGGTATATGAATGTAATGGAATACTATTGTGCTATAAGAAATGATGAACAGGCTGACTTCAGAAAAACCTGGAAAGACTTGTATGGTCTGATGCTGAGTGAAGTGAGCAGAACCAAGAGAACGTTGTACACAATAACAGCCACGTTGAGCGATGACTAATACTGATAAACTTAACCCTTCTCAGCAATACAAGGATCTAAGACATCTCCAGAGGCCTCATGATGGAAAATGCTCTCCACATCCAAAGAAAGAACCATGGAAGTTGAATCGCTATCATTTTTTTTCTCTTCTGTTGATTTTTGTTTCCTCTTTCTGATGGTTCCTCCTATTGGTTTTTATTTTTACTTACAACTTCACTAATGTGAAAATATGTTTATTAGGAATGTTAATGTATAGCCTATATCAGATTGTGTGCCGTCTTGGAGACAGTGGTGGGAAGGAAGGGGAAGAAAAATTTTAAACTCAGAAGCATATGGAAGTGAATGTTGATAAATCAAAATAAACTAACAAAATTTTTTAAAAAGACCACTAGAATTGGCAATTAAAAGATCATTGGTGACTTTGGAGATAGCAGTTTTAGTTGAATGATGAGTAGAATTTCCTTATTCCAGTGAGGATCCCTCAGTTGAGATTAGGTAACATAAATAGACTCATTTTGTTAAGGATATCATTTTATTCTACAAATCCTATCTTCTCAAACCAGAATGGGAGCTCCTTGAAGGCAAGGACTAGGGCTCTATATCCCTAGCACCAAGCATAAGGCAGGGTCTAAAGGAACCTCTCAAAAATGCTAGTTGAGAATTATGATGAAATTAGCACAAAGAATCAGTGCTGGAGTACTAATCAGTAGCATCCACTGATGGCCACTGGCAGGAAAGGTAACTATCGAGGCAGGCCAGTATCAGATTTTCATGATCTGGTTAATGTTCTTACCTCATCATATCCCAAGATTCCTGCATAGAAATTATTTGTCATGATCAGCATGTTCTTCTTCAGGATATAGGAATTTACCTGTCAAAAGAAAATGGCAAAAACAGAAGTATAAATGAAAGGAAAAAGACCCAAAGTAGTATGGTCTTCTCTTATCCATAATGGCTCTAAGTGGTACAATGGAAGTTCCCCGAGTCAAAAATCAAACTTTCTACCAATCAACTTTTAGCTTCTTCACTCTTAGATTAAGCTTAATCTAACTGCCTCCTTAGGTTCTGCCTCTTCCCCTAGAATAGAGGTCTGTACTCTCAAAGGTGATGCCAGTAGCATAATTCTCTCAGGTTCTCCCCAGCAAGGTTTCAAGAGGTATTTGGCAGCAGAAGAACAACACATAAAGACTGGTAACATATAAAGACTACTGAGCAGTTTCAGAAGGGGCCTTAGGGATTATCTAGTCCAGTATCCAAGATGATAAAAGTAAATGTCAACACTTACATGTGTCATCTCACCTATTAGAGTGTTAGCTCCCTGAAATCTAAGTGACTTGTCCCATACTAAGTGGCAGAGCTGGGATATAAACTCAGAGCCTGCAATTTCAAGGTTAGTACTCTTTGCACTGCATGATGCTCTCTCAAGAAATATCCATACTGGACAGCTAGGTGGTGCAGTGGAGAGAGCACCAGCTGTGGATTCAGAAGGACCTGAATTCAAATCTGGCCTCAAACTGGGCAAGTCACTTAATTCCGACTGCCCCCCCCCCCAAAAAAGGGAATAGCCATACCAAAGAATTTTAAAGCACTTGAGAACTTGCGAATCTGAGAGAACTGAATCAGAATGTAGAGCTCCTTAAAGCACCAAGAACACCATCAACTTATAAACAGCGAGAAAGACTATATACAGGGAACACAAGAAAGGTTTTCTCACTCTCCTCCAAATATATCGAATTTACCCCAAGATTTTACTTGTGTTGTTCCCTTTAATGGGAATGACCTTCCCTTCATCTCTGCCTAGCCAAACCTATCCAGCTTTCAAAATCCAAATCCATGCCCACATTCTGCAGGAAGACTCCCTTCAAGTCCCAAGCCCATACACAGAAAGGTATTCTTTCTCTAAGCACCAAAGAGTAGCTGGCCACATGTGCAACAAATCAGACATTGCTTTGCCCTGTTACTCCACATAATGTGTTTTTAAATTGTCCGTGAGCTTCTAGAGGAGAAGACTTGAATCATATTTCTTTACAGAGCCTCACACAGTGCCACTTAAAACCAAAAAACATTTCTTACAGGTTTACTAGTTACTATTACTAATGCATGGTACGCCACTAGTGATATCAAGTTTTACTATTACTTTTAAATAAAACTTGTTTGAACACAGTAGACAAACACAATTAAAGTATATTCTCTGAAAACAGCAAACAAAAACAACTTACTGGGACTAACAGGGTATAATACCTCTTCATTATTCCTTATCTCACAACCTCTACTTATCTTACAAACCCTTGACATCCCTACCCCAATGTATTTCATTCTTTGCCTCTGATGAAGAGATATTCCTTCTCACTCCTCTACATGGATCCTTGATCTCATTCCCTCTTGTCCTTGCTAGAATATTATCCTATCATCCCTACCTCTAAATTCAATCTCTTCCCATCTACTGATTCTCTGTTACCTACAAACATGCCCACATATCTCCCATCTTTAAAAAATCCTTATTAGAGAGCTTATTATCCCCAACTAGCTTTCATCCTATACTGTTCTTCCCTTTCTCAGCAAAACTTAAAAAAGCCATGGAGCCTTCACTTCCTTTCCTCTTACTTTCTTCATAATCTCTTCAATCTGGAGCAGACCACAGTTTTGATCACAAAACTAAAATTGTTCTCTCCCTCCAAATTACCCATGATCCCTAATTACTAAATCTAAATCTCTTCTCAATCCTTATCCTTCTGGACCTCTTTGCAGTACTGTATTTGACAATGCTGACCTCCTCTCTTCTCTGGGTTTTGACTGCTCTCTCCTGTTTCTCTCCCTAACTCACTGCTCCATCGATAATTTCTGATTGATGCCATGCCTAATAACTATGGGTGTGTCCCAAAGCTCTGACCTGCACTCTCTATCAGCTCCCATACGTTCAATTACCCTCTCTATGCAGACCACTACCATAACCACAGATTCAGCCCTAGTCTTTTCTATGGCTCCTCAAAAACCAGAGGTGACCCTGAGTTTTCAGAGGTGGAACACAATTTTTGGCAGGTTCTGACCATTCAATTCAATCACAGGTTCAATGATAGATTATGTGTCTATCCTCCAAGCCTAGCAAGGAGTTGTTTGGAAAGCAGAAAAGAAACTGATAAAGACTGTCTATTAAAAAGTTCCCAGTGATTTGGTAGAAGAAGTGTAGCACCAAACTAGATGTTCTACAGGCACGTACAACCCAATAGGTCCAAAAGACAACAAGACCCACCCCTATTCTCAACTTTCTGCTACTCTGGAGGGTAACAGCCTTCCAGTCACTCAGGTTCATAACTTTGGTGTCATCCCTGACTACTCATTCTCATTCACTCCTCACATCTAATCAGCCACCAAATCTTATCATTTCTGTCTTTACAACAATTGTATCTGTCTCCTCCTCTCCAGCCCCTATCAACACAGAAACAGCCTCTATGTCACTCCAAGGGTACTTTGTAGGCTTTCAGCGTCCTTCTATACAGTGTTAGAGTTGTCTCTCTACATCTATCATCTCATCTATTGGACTGTTAGCTCCCCGAGAGCAGGAACCACATCTCTCATTCCTCTCCACCCTCTTCTTTCCTGACTCCAACACTGAGGACAGGACCCTATATATGATAGGTGCCCAGGATATGTATGGTAATGTTGATATTCACATAGGAAACAAAAAACACACCAATCACAGAGAAACTCCTAGAGCTCTCTGGGTGACAGGATAGGACAAGTAACAATAAAAGTTGTTTATCAGCTAAAATTGAGTATTAATAAGAAAATCCTAATAGCTCAGATTGCTCTCATGTCATATATTCATGTCCCTTCTTCATGCCCAACTCCACTTTTGTTACAGTGTCTCTTCCCTCATAACTAATTGGCTAACCGGCCATTCTGTACCCACAGAGCCTCCTCCTTCACTTCTTGCTGCACCTGGGAACTGATTTTCCTAAAGTATCAGCCAGGTTGGATTAGATCATGAAATGGAACCTTGTGAGAAGGGAATGGCACACAGTTTGATCACTACAGATATATGATCTGCAGCCAACATGGGAGACAGATAGTGGCTTTCTAAGGGCTGGTCATTGAAATAACCCAGGCCCTTCCAGCCAGCCCAAGGATCTCCCGTGCCAGCTGGTGTGTCTGTGTCTTTCTCTGTTGGTGGGCAAGTTCCCCATTTCTCTGCTGCTGCAAGGTCTCTCATTGTCTCCTCTTCTGGACAGCTACATGCTTCCTTCTCTATGTCATACACAGAGTACAGCCCTGTACACATACAAATGCATACAGCAGACAAGCACTCCCCACAGACAGTGTCGGGCTGTTTTCCCCCTCAGCTGCTATCCCTTTTCACAATGCTTTGCTTTTTTATAAAAGTCCATAGAGCAAAACCACAAGGAAAGGTTCCTTTTCTGTCAGTTACTCATATTTTCCCATTTATTCAGCTATTAAAATCCATGCAGATATTTTATAGGCCATCAAGATTTGGTGACTGGTATTACTGAATGTTTAATAATAAACTCAACAGAAGAAATCAGAGGGTTAAATGATGACTGCAATTCCTGTAATGACTTAATTAAATTTTTATTGAGTACATAAACTATGATGTAATTTCTAGCCAACCTCGTGCCTCCATTCCCCATGTGTCACGGGCTGGGGGCGCTCTCTGTAGACACTCCTGAGTGAGCCCTGAGTCTCTGCTGTACTGGGAAAGGGGGCAAGGCTCATGTAACACACTCAATAAATTATCCGTTCATTTCTAAACAAAGTCCATGAGTTATAATATATTTGCCATGCACTTTTTATGACATAATAAAAGTGGTACCTTAAGGATTACTTAACACAGACGGCGAATGTTATAGCAGAGGCAGGCTCAAGGGGCAAAGAAAACAAACATTAGCAGCTCAGGGACAGGTCCTGGAGTTTACATCCCAGGGGGGGCCACTTACTATATTAAAAAGAAAAAACAGCCAGACTGGGTTTGCTAATCAGGAGATTAATGAAGAAGATAGCCAACAGGTTAAAAGAATAAGGCAGTAAAGTACCTCAAGCTGAGAAATTTTCAATGGAATAAGTCCAGGATGTCTGAAGGATGAACACCAGCCTGTAAGGCAGCAAGATGCTCTTTCATTAGACTTAGTGCCATGAACACATGGGTTTGAGCCCCAGCTTTGGCAAACACTAGCTCTTGTGAGATTAAGCAGGAAATTTTCCTGTTCTGGGCCTCAGTTGCCTCCTCTCTAAAAACAGGGATAATGCTTACTGTACCTAAAAGAGCTATGTATGTTCAACATACATACATACATACATACATACATAAAGTAGTTTACAAATCATAAAGTACAATATATCAGGTATTATTTGTAAAATGGGTTATCTGTGATGCAATATGACTATAAATCACGAACACCCCAATCTCAGAAGAATTAAAACTACAGGTGACACAAAAGGCAATGGAAAGACTCATGGGAGCTACAAGCAGGATACAATGATGTGCACAATAAACATACCTTAAGACACATATCAAGAATGAGTATTACCAGAAAAAATATGTGGATCAGTCATGTAACAAGAGTGAAGGATAATAGAATAGAGCAATAGCATGAATACTTATCCTATATAATCTCACAAGATCCCATATAATAGGGTTTTTTTGTGCTTTTCAGGCAAGTGGGGTTAAGTGACTTGCCCAGGGTCACACAGCTAGTAAGTGTCAAGTGTTTGGTCTGAGGCCACATTTGAACTCACATCCTCCTGACTTCAGGGCCAGTGCTCTGTCCACTGCGCCACCTAGCTGCCCCAAAATTCCATATAATATTAACAGAACCAGAGGAAAGCCTCTAGTATATTTGTTGGATCTTCAATGAA